TTGGAAAAGAAAAGGTCAAATTACCTCCATTTGCTGATGATATATTATAAATAAGAGATCTCAAAAATTCCACTAGAAAACTGTAAGACATGATTAGTACTTTCAGGAAAGTGGCAGGTTACAAAATCAACTTACAAAAATTAGTACCCTTTCTATATACCAATAACAAGCAACTGGAGAAAGAGTACAGAGAATGCTCCCATTCACAATAGCTGCAAAATAAATAAATTATCTTGGAATAAATCTGACCAAAATTAAAGATCTCTACAATGAAAATTTCAAATCTCTGAAGAAAGAAACAGCAGAAGACACTAGGAGATGGAAAGACCTCCCATGGATTGGTAGAATCAATATTGTGAAAATGACCATCTTATCAAAAGAAATTTATAGATTCAATGCAATTCTAATCAAAATACCCACAACATGCTTCGCAGAGCTTGACAAAATAATCCTAACATTCATATGGAAGCATAAAAAACCCTGGGTAGCCAAAGCAGTCTTGGGCAAAGAGAGCAATGCTGAGGGTATCACCATACCAGATCTCAGATTATATTACAGAGCTACAGCCATAAAAACCACATCATACCAGCACAAAAATAGACCCATAGATTTATGGAACACAATAGAAGACCCAAACATGAGTACATGCAATTTCAGCCACCTGATATTCAACAAAGGTGCAAAGAACACACGATGGAGGAAACACAGTGGAGCATCTTCAACAAATGGTGCTGGCAAAACAGAATCTCCACCTGAAGAAGAGTGAAACTGGACCTTTATCTTTCACCTTGCACAAAAGTCAAGTCCAAATGGATCAAAGACCTCAATATAAAACGTGAAACTCGGAAACTGCTAGAAGAAAACATAGGCAGCACCCTCCAAGATATAGGCCTAGGAAAGGACTTTCTAAATCAAACACCAACTGCTCAGTCACTAAGGTCAGCAATCAGTAAGTGGGACCTCATTAAATTACAAAGTTTCTGTAGAAGAAAAGAAACAACCAGGAATGGGAAGAGGAAACCCACTGAGTGGGAGAAAAGCTTTACCAGCTATACATGCGAAAAAGGATTAATACCCAGAATACACAAAGAACTCAAAAACAAGAAAACAAACGACCCAATGAAAAGATGGGTGACAAACCTGAACAGAGAGTTCTCAAGTGAAGAAATAAAAATGGCTAAGAAGTACCTTAAAAAGTGCTCGACATCTTTAGTAATTAGAGAAATGCAGATTAAATCCCACTTTAAGATTCTGTCTTACTCCAGTTAGACTGGCTCTGATCAAGAGAATGAAAGACTCCAAATGCCAGAGTTAATGTGGAGAGGAGGAGACAAATAGGTGGTGGGCCAGCACTAGACTGAGAACTACTGGAGACTGATTGCTGCTGGGTGAGGGAGAGTATGCCTTGCACACACTGTCAAGATGGGCTGACTAGACTCCAATGGATGAATTCCACTGAAGGACATTTGGGTACAAATGCCTGAATGGATCAGACTTAACATGTATGGCAGAACACATGAGGCCCGGTGGGGGGTTAGAAGAGACATGGATGGGGGAGGGGTCTAAATTAAGCTCAATAAAAATATTTTTTAAAAAAAGAAAGAAAAGACATTAAGTTGGGAGGGGAAGTGGGAGGGACATGAAAGAAGTTGGAGGAGGAAATGAGCATAGATAGGATCATATTTAATTGTATACATGTATGAACTTCTCAAAAATAAAGAAATTAAAGTACAGAATGCTATTTGCACCATTATAGTATAAAACTTATCTTCAATATGCTATATACAGTTTAGGTACATGCAATTAATGAAAACGTGTGGAATTGTAATTATTTTACTACTTACCAGGCAAAATTTTGTCAAAATATAATGCCAATGCCAAATAGAGAAGAGCATCAAAAACCAACATGAAAAGAGTAGCTACTATTAAGTAGGAGTTGTCTGAAGAATCTAAGTAAACATTAGAATCCACATCATAGTCCAAATGTATAAGCTGAAAAAGAAATGCACAGAATTTCAACAGGTCAGTATAGGGTTAAGTATTATCATCATCTTATTTCTGCAGGACGCCAGGGGCAAAGATGAATGAAACACAGTTTCAATCTCTATATAGCTCAGATCTCCTGGAGATTTTAGCATCTACTTAGCTAACTACAAATTACAGAGGATGATAGCATGTTAAATTTCCTCAGAAGAAGTAAAAACTCAAGTGCCTGAATGGTTGGACAAAAGGATGGTTTATTGAACTGTACCAAGATACAATGCATTCACATAAATTAACTTTCCTGAGAGGTGATTTGGTTTCATATAAATATGAAAATATA